GTGTACTCCCGCGTAGCAGTACATGTGCTACGCTCTTGTTGTCACTGCTTTTCATTTGACGCAAAAAAAAAAACTGACAACGAATTGTTTTGGTTTCAGTACCCCTGTAAGTTATAGTCAGCTTAGGCGGTGAAAAATTACATTCTTGTCGCAAACTGGCCAGAAAAAAAACACGAAGAAAAAGCAACGAGGTAGCGCTTTTTTCCAACAGTCATTTTTGTAGACACGTTAAACGCCACCCGGCATGAAAAGGCCAAACCTGTTGTTGACAAATGTATTAGCCAATTGACTTCTGCGGTCCCTTGATCGTGCGAGAAATCAATATGTTCTCATCCGATAGATGAAAAAAGGCATGTGCTCCACCGCGGTGGTCTAGTGGCTAAGGTACTCTGCTGCTGACCCGCAGGTCGCGGCATCAAATCTCGGCTTTGGTGGCTGCATTTTCGATGGAGGAAAAAATGCTGTAGGCCCGTGTGCTCAGATTTGGGCGCACGTTGAAGAACCCCAGGTGGTCGAAATTTCCGGAGCTCTCCACTACGGCGTCTCTCATAATTATATGGTGGTTTTGGGACAATAAACCCTACATATCAATTATCAGAAGGAGGCATGTATGCGCATGTGTGACCGGACCACACGGTCCTCTTTGCCTCAAATCACCTCCCTGCCCTTTGACACGGACAACGAGATAGGGAAGCCCCGCCGCGGTGGTCTAGTGGCTAAGGTACTCGGCTACTGACCCACAGGTCGCGGGTTCGAATCCCGGCTGCGGCGGCTGCATTTCCGATGGAGGCGGAAATGTTGTAGGCCCGTGTGCTCAGATTTGGGTGCACGTTAAAGAACCCCAGGTGGTCTAAATTTCCGGAGCCCTCCACTACGGCGTCTCTCATAATCATATGGTGATTTTGGGACGTTAAACCCTACATATCAATCAATCAACGTGATAGGGAAGCCGTGCCTTCATTGACAGACCTAGGTCTGCGAAATCGCGTATGAGCACCGATATGTCCCGGCACAGTTGTGCCAGCCGACGTTGTTGATGTGCGCCCGTATCTATAGTCGTACACGATTCATGTTCATTTCATATGAATTTTGTAGTATTAGTTGGAGTTTTACGTCCCAAAACCACCACATGATTATGAGAGACGTCGTAGTGGAGGGCTCCGAAAAAATTCAACTAGCTGGAATTCTTTAACGTGCACCTAGATCTAAGGGCACGAGCCTCAAGCACTTTAGCCTGCATTGAAAATGCGGCCGCCGTGGCCGAGATTCGATCCCGCAACCTGCGGGTCAACAGCCGAGTGCCTTCCACTAAACCACCGCAGCGGGTCATGTTCATGCGAGTGCGCTTAGTACTAGTATGAGTGAATTGTTCCAGCTATGCTCTGAACGGCGGCCTTCGCTCAGCTCCGACGTGATTAATTAAGTTGAACCAGGAACTAAACACGCGCAAATAATTCAGCAATGTAGTTTCTATAATAAATCTAGGGTAACGATTTGTTGCCTGCTTGTTTAGCGCTCTATAAATGCACATTCGTTATTTACCGCACACATTGATTGCACACGTACACCGGTTATTTGCGTGTTCGCGATTGTGATTACTTTTTTTTTATTATCTACAAGTGCCCTTTAAAGTAGGGCAAATAAGTGTCTACAAGTGACAGTTAACTTAGTCTGCGTATAAAACCGCCTGTTAACCGAAGACTTCAAATACGTTCGCTTCGCATTAACCTTGGCGAAATAACCCTGCTTGAATTAATTTTGGCATGTCTTACAAAACATATCAAGTTTGTCAGCGTCCATCAGCAGTGTTTCGCTAGCCCTTCTCCTGTTTGTTCTGCCAGTCACTCTACAATTTTCTCGTCATTCATTTATTGTTGTCGTCGCTGTTGTTGATGAATGTCCGAGCGCAGACGTGTGCCTCATAAGGGCACCAGATCATCAATGCAGTAGAGACACTTAATAAAAAAATAATACTATCGGTGTTGTACATTCGCATAGCTTCAGTCTAAAACGCAGCTGCTGAAGTAATATGCTTCAGGTGGTGAAAAGAATCGAGATCAGTTATGGTTAAACACTGTGGCTTCGGAGTTGCCAGCACGTCGAGCATGCCTTCATCGTCGGGAAATTTTGACCACCTGGAGTTCTTTAGCGTGCACCCAAATCTGAGCACACGGCCCTACAGCATTCTCGCCTTCATCGAAAATGCAGCCGCCGCAACTGGGAATTGGTCCCGCGATCTGCGGGTCAGCAGCCGAGTACCTTAGCCACTAGACCACCATGGCGGGGCTACAACGAGAGAGCAGAATGGAGCGCTGTAACGCAAACGTGTAGGAGAAATAAAAGCTATTAGGCAGGCATTTCCAATCAACGTTATAACTGCAACACTATTGAATCCCAGGCGAGGTAATCGAAGTCAGTCATTGTCGTGCGCTAAATTTGCAGTTATACATCACTTCAGACTCTACAGTTATTCATCTCTCTCTTCTTGTAGGGCAGGAGGAGAAGACGTTTATTTCGATCGTCGCATTCTTTATTGTTTTTTGGTATTTTTATTGGTATTTCTCGTGTCCTGGTATTTACACGAGATGCAGTTATTGAAGGGGTTCTCGGTTCCGCCATCTTATGTCTGCATGTAGTACTGTGCGTAGTTTGAAGAACAGCTGCCGTAACCAAACGCATGCCTTGAAGTGTGGAGAAAAATTAGGGGAATGGGTCTACCACATTATACGCTATGTACGAGAGATTCCCTGATTGTAAGTCCAGGGTTATGCCTAAAGCCCAGCAGTCTTGCTGCAATGTCCGTGCATATTTGATTGGTCCCGTTCAAAGTTACCTATTTCTCTATTTTTTTAGGTGTGAAGCTCCTTAGGGCGTGGGCTGTGCGTCCCCTGTAGCCTGTATGTAGCCACCTCTAGTTTAGTTCTTGCAGTGTTCACTAGATGGCGGTACCGTCCCCTGTATGTAGCCACCTCTAGTTTAGTTCTTGCAGTGTTCACTAGATGGCGGTACCGTCTCCTGTATGTAGCCACCTCTCGTTTAGTTTTTGTAGTGTTTACTAGATGGTGGTACTTGTAGCTGATGATGAAAAGATTCAAGATGTTATAAACTAGAAAGCGGTACTTGTAGTTGATGAAAGACGCGAGATCTTATAAAATAGGAATGATGTCACATATGGCGCGTGTCATTGTCATGTACGGCATAATTTATGTTTGCATCATAACGTTGAGCTGATTTTAATGTGACAATTCAACCTTCTTCATTCGTGCTTCGCACATCATCGATTCCCACTCTACGTGGGATCTACCGTTTTTTTGTCTTGCAAATCAAGACTACTCACAACCGTCACTTCAACCTAGTAAGGACAGCAACGGAAGTAAAACATTTGAATAGAACTTCACAATGAGCTAGTTGGTTAATCATGAGCAACGTTTCTTGCGCAAACTTTAAAAAAAAGGAACTGACGACAGCTACGAAAGACGTACAAAACACATCAGCGCAAACTGACAACTGTTTAAAAGGCAGATAAACATGATATATACAGAAAAGCTCAGCGAGCACTGCACACGCATGTGGTCTCTGTATATGTAATGTTCACTGACCTATTAAAAAAGTTGTAGGTTTGCACTAAAGCGTTCTGTACGTCCTTCGTCGCTGTCGTCAGTTTCTTTTTGCAAAGTCTGTGCAAGAAACATTGGTCATTAAACCATTTCGTTTATATAGGCATCCTCACAAGCACCGGTGCCAAAAGCTTTGCAACACATGGATGCTAAAGCACGTGTGAAATGACATTTCCAGACAGTTTAATCATGCTATAGCACTAGATCGAAAAACAAATATTGAAAGCCACGAGCTAGCTCCCATGCTTGCTGAAAAAAAATGTAGGTCTTTCTAGCGACGCGCTGCTTAAGTATGAGAGCCATCTGCGCAATTAAAGCTTGCCCCAGCTATCGCTTTTAGAAGTGTGAGGTCATATAAATAGGCACACTATTCGCAGATCTCCCTTTGTAAGGGCATGTGGAATCGGACGGGTCATGTCTATCGTTGCCTCCTTGGTATAGTGAATGGAATTTTCCATAGCGCTTTCCTGAGTTGAACCAATTTGTTTTATAAGTGACAACGCTGCACAACTGGGGCACAATAGCGCCAATAGGTAAACCAACTGGACGAAAGAAATAATAATAATAATAATAATATCTGGGGTTTAACGTCAAGAACCACGATATCATTAAGAGCATGACGCCCCAGTGCAGGGTTGCGGAAATGTTGATCATCTGGCGTTTTCTTAACGTGCATTGAGAACACAGGTCTTTAGCATTGCCCCTCCATCGAAATGAGACACTGCCGTGGCCTGCATCGAACCCGCGACCATCGGGCAAAAACCGTAACCACTGATCCACCGAGGCGTACCAATGAAATAAGCCGACCTGGAGTGATTTCGCTGAGCGATTCTGTTGCAATCATTTGGCTTCTTTTCCGTGCCATGAGCAATCTTCGATAGGTCAAAAGACACGACCCCGAAATTTCAGTCAATAGCAGATGGCTAATGGCGAAGAAAGACGCCAACTGAGTCATACAATCGCGACGGAATCACTCCGCGATAGCTCTCCCGCTAAGGTGAAAGTTACCCGCATTTCAGTGGCGCCTTCCCGCGGGAAGCACGGAGCAGCATTGCCTCACGAAATGTGCGGGCCCATGGCGCGCGACGAAGGTGCGTGCCATCCGCGCACCGTTCCACACGTCCGCACAAACCGACCTTGGGCCACTGAGATCCCAGGCCATGCGTTGTGTGCTCTCCGCGGAAAGAGGCGGACGATGATTTCGCAAAAGCGTCGCCACGGCAAACAAGCACACTTTCTTCGCCCGCTTTTTTTCGAATGCATGAAGGAAAAAGTGATGCCCGCGCCGGGCGCGACTTTGAGTGCAGCCGTGGGCATCGAGACGTCGTCGCATGTGCGCCGCTCGTCCAATCATGGGTCATTCTTTCTCGTCCACTCTTGCAGGCAGCCGGGGACCTTGACAGGTACAAGACAGGTGAGTACGACCCGGCAACACTGCCCTTCTTCTCCTTCGGCCCTTGCGGTGCACGCGCCCCCTCTGCAGCCGAGTTTTCTCACGGGTGGCGTGCCATTGGGCGCCTAGCGCGTAAAAGCCGTAAAAGAATGTATGCAGAGAGCGAGAGGCGGTAGCGATGCGCTGCAGCTTGCGTTCGCGGCATCTACAGCGGAAGCCGCTGGGTCGCCACTGCGTCCTTCTCGGTAGCGGATGCCTTTACTGGCAGGTCACAGCTGGTTACACTGCCCGCTTCACGTTGAAGACGGCCACTGCATTCAGCAATAGGTCATGAGAAGCGATAATGGCCCCTTCCTTTTGCTACACGCCTTTCAAAACGCTGTTGAGGCTCGGCTGACGTAGGGTGCTACATCGTTCGTAGTAGCGCAGTGAAGACTAAGGGTACTATTAACAGCCGTGACCAGTCAAACATACGATTCACGGCAAGTTAGGAACGGCTAAGTTGCCTTAAATCAAGTGTCGACTCAAATTTACTGCATCTAAACGCATCGCTCCCGCACTCTATGTATAGTACACGCGCGTTGTAGGTCCAGGGAGAGCGTTCATTCTGCGAGTCGTTATGCTTATTTACGAGCAGCACATATGTAATAATACACGTATGTAATACGGAAGAACTAGAGAACTCGAGTCAATCGCAATGACCATCATATGCGGTGATCTTCCGCAAATCCCCGCGCTGCTCATCGCAAAGACTGCGATGAGTTACACAAAAAGTAAAAAAATATATGCATATAGATGCATATAAACTAGGTTAAACTGTCTCATAAGGCTTTCTCTATCCCATAATAAGTTGCCAGTGAAGCCGAAGTTATAGCTGTCGTTCAATCCGGATGGCGACTGCGGCGATGTGGTGTGTCCCTTCTCCGGTGGAGAAGGGACACACCACATCACACATCACATCACACATCTGCCCCACAAAACACAAAATGCAGCGTCAGTCGGTTCTGGCGATAGCATACTTTATGCTCGTCTAGGCCAATTATGAGAGAGACGAAAAGGCATTTTCAAAATGCAACGCAATGCAACTTGTCTAATCTGGCATTGTGATAGTCTCTTCCCTCGTCTATCCTTCGCATCTCTATACCTAAACGTCTGGTCATGCTCGACTCGTCCCAGCACCCTCAGCCTACCAAAAATGGCTTAGCAAATAATAACTGCAATTTTGACAGACACGTCACTAGGTCCCGTGAGGGGGCGATAAGCTTGGTCTCCGCGATCAACCGTCGCGAAGCTTGGCAGCGGAAAACGTAGTTGAGCTTGAAATTCTTTATTCAGGGGTAAAGAAAAACAAATCCTCGTCCCGCATCATAAGCATATAACAGGCAATGCCAACAAGAAAAGAAAAATGAACAGGGCAGAGTCAGGTGAAATTTTCAGGGGGAAGGATGTGCAGGAGAGTCACACTCCACCCCCAGTCGAACCGAACAAAAAGAGCTCTTAGTTTGATGTACATTGTTGATCTTACTGTTAACAAGTTTGATCGAGTTAATCAGTGACAAATCTTGCGATGCGCATCTTAATGGGCTGTCTACGAGATCTTGCTTTCCTGCCGGTTGATGGAGTAGGAGTTTCCTGTTGATTTAAACTGGCGGGAGTTCTTTGATGTGTGTGCGTCGCGCAGCGGGCGCGTGCGATGCGACGGTGGACAGCGCCGAGGGCTGGATCCTGAGCCCCAACTACCCGAGCGACTACGCGAACTTTGGCACGTGCAAGTTCACGGTGCGAAAGCTGGGCAGCGACGTGTGCACGTTGCGGCTGACGCTGGACGATTTCGAGCTGGAGGAGAGCGCTGACTGCTTCAATGACTACCTGCTGCTACCCGACGGACAGAAGCTGTGCGGCTCCCTGCCACCGGACACTCTCAGTGAGTGCGCGCCTGCCACTATAGACCATCGCCCTTAGCGCCCCTTTTTTTATTTATTTATTTATTTATTTATTTTTATTTTTTTTTTCAATACTCTCAGTCTCATGTTGAGACCATAGCAGGTTTTAACGGCAAAGGGTGTAAACAAATACAGCACTTTTCTTTTTTTAATGATGCAACAAACCAATGCAACAAAATGAAATACACTGAAACTGAATTCTAGAGCCCTGATTTATAGATTTGCTATTAAGGAACGAAGTAACGCACGAAAGCAAGACACGCGAGAAAGAAATGACTCGACGAAACCACCATTGCTATTTCTTCCTAGTGTGTCTTGTCTCCATGCGCTGCTTCACGCGTTAAGAACGCACGTTAAAAAGGTTCTGAAAAGGTCGCTTCTAAAACGACAATGCGGAATCGCCGTCATTCCAACGCACTGACTAGGCGACGTCATCGTAAGTATAGTCGACCTGCACGTGGACTTTTGCCTATCGAGGAACGCCACGTATACCTGTGAGTACGCGCAATTGGGACACCCATCGGCGTCTTTGCGTGCCTACGCAGTCCGCGCTAACTTGAACTCTGCAGTTCACGTCATATTGAGCAGCGTTCTAGTATAGGACGCGGATCGCGTATGGCAAAGGCGCCGATCAGCGTCCCTTGCGTGCGCTCGCAGATACCGTGGAGTTCTGCGTCCATCGATAGGCAAACTGTCCATGCGCGTCTACTCGGGCTGATGGTATAGTTAGAGCGTATGGCTGCCGATGGTGCAGCATTGTCGTTGTAAAGAGACCTTTTCATGGCCCCATTAAGATGTCACGTGCGCTTCTTCACACGTTCCTCAACTCGCTAAACTTTCAAAAATGCTGTGCTATAGCGACTACTTAAGTGGCCGCGCTGCACACGACCGCTTTCTTTCACCTGTACAGAGCCAGACCAACTATATAGTTAAGGTTCTATTAAGATACCGAAGCACTCTGGGCTATACATCGTGTATATTGCACGCCCCACACGTTAAACAATACATTGATAAATACTACATTGACTTGCCACCCGAGATGAGCGCGCACCTACATAGTTATCAAGACGCTGCTTTCTTGTCTAAGGCAAGGAAACATCTCTCGCATTAGCGTAAGGAAAAATTCATTTGACATTTATTATACCTACGTTTTGACCCACCAATATTATTTACCACCGTTTTGAGGCCAGCCTGCATTTTCTTTTGCTCATTTCTGCTTTTTTTTGTATTCTTGTGCATCTTTCACCGTTTAGATACAAGTTCCCATTAGATATATATATGCAGTAGTGTTGCCTTGTTTGTGCACATATAGGTCACAATTTTATACTATACTAAGTTATCCGAGTAGCAAAAGATACAGCTACGTAAAAACACTCGACGCTCATAGCTTCTTCTTCATTTTCCTCAGCTGTTCTTGTCATATACAAGCTTCGTTTTTACTCTTGCAGCTTGAAAGGGCGGTCTACCCCATATCTCCATGGTTGTTGCCGTGCCCCCATGCTCACCTAAACTTGTCTACGAACGCATATACAGGGTGCCTCAGGTGTCTCTAGCCCGGAGTTTTAAAATATGCTGACACACGCAATTACGACACGACCAAATGCATGTTGCTGACCATTGCCTTGAGTTATTCAGGATATTTTTGTGTTCTCAAATATTGTTTAATTAGATATGTTTAACCAACTAACATTAAAGGAACAAAAATCGATAAAAATGTTCAATGAGAAAGTTATGGATCGGTTTACAAAACGCCCGATTAGACAGTTAAGAACTTTCTACCTGTTAATTATTTGAGTTTTTCTGCTAACTACAAATGCCCACAAAATACAAAAAATACCACGTGACAAACCCACTTGCGTGCCCGTGCGCACGATGATTCTAGTGCTTCCTGACGTTCCACGTACAAACGACCGTAGCGTTTGCCTGATTGTGCTGTCTCGACAGGGCCGCAAGGATGGTGGTGGCTTTTCGACGAACACGTTTCGCTATCGGCCACAAAAGCGATAACCACGTGACTGCTTACCACTGTCATGAACCAATGCGAATGAAACGTATCGTTCGTACGCGGAATGCTAGGGAGCACCAAAATCACGGCACGCGTAGCCGCGCCAGTGGGTTTGTCACGTGGTATTCTTTTGTATTCCGCGGGCATTTGTAGTTAGCATAAAAGCACTAATAATTAACAACTATAAAGTTTGAAACTGTATAATTGGACGTTTTGCAAGCCGATCTACAACTTTCTCATTGAAATTTTTATCCAACTTCGTTCCTTCAAAAGTTAGTTAATTAAGTAGCTCTAATTAAACAATATTTCAAAACTCAAAAAATAGTCTAACTCCAGGCAACGGCGAGCAACATGCATTTGGTCGCGTCGTAATTGCGTGTGTCAGCATAATTTTGAACTCTGGCTAATAATAGCTGGGGCACTCTGTATTCTTATGCCTAACTTTAAGGCTATAATTGGTATCTGATCCCGAGAATACTACTTCTTCAGCTGCCTGGCGGCACTGGTGACAAATATTCATTGCGGGCACACGCGTCAAGCATAGAAGAGAGCTCATTTTCTGCGGCACGCAATGAAGAAGTGTTCAAAATATTAACCTAAAAATGCGGGTCTGGTTTGTGTGCAGTTTCGCGCTAGATAGCGACGGAAGGGCATAAGTTCGCTCGGTGTTCTGAACTGTCCACTGCAATGAAAGTGGTCGCGTGTGCTCATTTGCGTGAGCTTATTCAACCTACAGTCAGTAAATAAGCTGTGTCATCTGCATGACCCCGCTTACTTCTGTCGTGATACACATGAGGGACCATTATGTGGCGTATCATCAAGGCGTAGGCTTCAAGTAGTAAGTCAGTACAGAATTGTTAACCTTCAGGACTGTACTTTCTCTCAATCTGAGGGTGCATTGAAATTCTTTGTAATGAGGTCACTCGTTGCGAAACAGAAGATAGTACGGCACATTTCGGCCAGCGAAGCTTCCGAGGGCGTGTCAAGGCTTTGTTCCCCATTTTCAGGCAATAAAAACGTTATCGTTATCAGGCAATAAAAACGATATCATTTCCAAATATCTTAATATGCAGAACAACATGGGTCAACGCACGTGTTGGTCCAAACCTTCTTTGGTTGAAGGCTTCTCCGCATGTTGTTACTCAATGCGGTGAACGCATCTTTCGGGTGCCGCCTGATTCGGCTGGCATTAATAGCATGCGTGTTGTCTTTACAGTTGCCAAATATCCTCAGAAACAGCTTCTTAGTTGTCCGCCTAAGTGGCACATAATCATAGGGTTTTGATAAACTGTATTCACTATCAATATTATCGATCTGACGGAGAGTAAGACATTACATGGAAAGCTCATGATTCAATTGCGGCTTTCTGTTTCCCAGAACACACGTGCTACTGCCGTAGACTGAAGGCTCTTTTACACCTGCGACTAGCACCAATCGAATGACAAAGTTAGTAGCATAGCGACTGGTCAGAAACGATCGCGAATGGCTGCTTTGGTCGCAAAACAACAGTTTTCAATGTGTCGCTCCCTGCTTGATTTTCCAATCGCGCGTCTGCAATCACAAACATGTGAGCCAATTGGCTGTGGAGGAACAGGACGTCAGCTTATTTTACGGGGCAATGGTAATACGAGCAGACGTGAATTACTAGTATAAGTCGCACGCCGCTGTGAACAATAGTCGCGTATAGCCGCTTTTTGGTCACCAGTAGCAAATGGTCGCGTGACCAGTGTTAGTTGCATGTGTGAATGAGCCTTAACTAAGAAAAAAAAAAGCTATGGTAATGTCGTTCGCTCCCATATGCATAGTAATTGAGATGCAAATACAAAAAATAGCGAAGAAAGGAGGGTTTAGCAACACCGACCTAAAGTGTGGTTGCTTTCAATGTAACCTATAAAAGGACGCGATAAAATGTAGTACAGATACAGCTCAAACCAACAGCTCGCGTTCAAACAATAAATTTCATGAAAAATGTAATGTACGATTTTAAGTTGTGCTTATAAAAGGGTCCTTTCTAAAAGTTGCACCTGTTGGTCAAAGAGCCCAAGGGGGATTTTTTTTTTTTTTTAGAAACGAAGCACCAGAGTGTACTTTTAAAGGTCCAGCTGAAATCCGCTTACCTTATGGGTCATTTGGGCCCCAGTTGAATGTAATAATGCGAGCACCGTAACGGCATTAACCAGGATTTTCCAGCTTCGGCTGTGCTTTACTTTGTCCCATCAGTGCACTTAAACAGTGCACGGAGACAAGTTCGAAAAAAACGGCAGCTGCGACTCGCACTACCACACGTGAAATAAGGTTCTGAGGCGGAAGGAGGGCAAGTTCATATCAATACACTGCTACTTCTGACCTTGTTCAAGTGAGAAAAAAAATAAGGGAGATATATAGATGGTAGGAAACTATATACAGTAGTACAGTGGCAACGAATCACGTGTTGTGGATCCCTTTTCTATAAATTATGAATCTCTAATGTACCTCAGGTCATGAATACGTGCGTAATGCCGGTTGCATCTACTTTCACGTTTACGAATGATAAATCACTTAACGTCGATGCTCATTCCTATAGTACTTTTCAGTGTGTGATGTAATAGCCTTACACAAGCTACCAGTGACGTACCGGCCTTAATATGTCCGATCTGACCAATTGCGGACTCGCCGCGTCTCATAAATGTTATCTTCAAAGCTTCGTAAGTGCGGTACCTCGCTTTTAACGGTGAACAGCGACGCTCGTTTCGCCTCGCAGAGACGGTGAGCATATCGCGACGCCACAGCAGCTTCACATTCATCTTCTCAAGCAACGAGGCCAAGACGGCGAGGGGCTTCATGATCCGCGTGGAGCAAGTGCGCGACTCGTGCACCGACGACCTGCCAGACAGCCCGCTGTTCCCCACGGACTCGCAGCCGGAAGACTTCACGCCGCTCGGCAGGCCGCAGGCGCAGTTTGGAAATGGTGAGACGTGAGCACGTAATGTAAAACTTTCTTCGGTAAGAAACAGAATCTTCTACGGTCATCTGCCGTGACGATGACGGTAATAGAGCGTACGACTTTGTCGTTACTGCAGCATGCCGCTATGTGATAACTATGATATGCTCACGAGTAATCGACTAATCTGTATATTGATGATGACATGAAATAATTTGAAACTTACCTTAAAGAGAGCGACTCTAAAAGGCGGCGCAAGGCTGTCGAGCACGTATGTAGCACACCAACTAAGAATTCTGCGAATCTCTTAGACGCTGCGCTGTTGAAAGCTTTTTTTTTTAAGATATGCCTGCAGCCAATCATGCGTTTCTTTTTTTGCATTCACGTAGTTGTGAGTGGATGGTGCGCAATGCTTGTTCCGGCCTAGCCCGATGTTTCAGCGCTCGTTTCTTGCCTAAAATCTCGCCCTACTTATGATTGCGTACGCATTTTCCTCATCTTCTGATAGACTGTGTCTGTGTAGCGTCCGCTTACGGAATTCTGAGATCGCTCTAATGCTTTTTAATAGAAGGAACGCTGCTAATATACCTTCAAAAATGTTGGATTTCTTTCTGTAGGCCACCAGCAGTGCCGGTCGGATAAACGAAGAAAATACTAAAATTTGAGGCGTCACTGCGCATTTGAAATGTTCGGCCTATGGGAACGTGATCTCACGAAGCTTCGCTCACTTCCCGTTGACCTCCAGTTGCCTCATTAACCTACTTTCTTTGTATGGAAACAAGGACTGCACAATATCTCCCAAGAAAAGTTCACAAAGACCGTTCGTTTGTTACTGCATGAATACCTTGCGTTTTAATGGGCTTGGTTTCATTGTAATCGCTCGCGCACCATATGCTATACGAATGTACCTGTTTGTCGATCTGCTTCACATGACTTCTCCAGTGTGCTTCACGTGGAGTATTTTTTGCGACGCATCTAGTGTGGTCCATCACGCTGCCATGTCGGTGGCGTTTCATCGGTGGGCGCAATGCAGAGACAACCACAGGTACTTTACACCCATGCACCCTAAAGAACCCCAGGTTGAGAGTAATCCGGAGCCTTTACCCTCGTTAGATGTCTTTGGTTGCGTTGAGAGATATCCTATGCTTTCAATATGCAAACCTCTTGCTGTTTCCCCTGTGACTGCATCTGGATCGTTGCTTCCTTAAAGTGTACGCTCAAGGTTTTTACGAGTCCCGCAGCACAACGCCAGCGGTGTGGAAAGAGTGCTTATAGTAACCTCCTGGGTAGCTGCTCACGTGTGGCCGGCACCCCCAGCAGGTGGGTGCGATCGGGACGTGCTGGGCTACACGCACGTGCTGTCGTCGCCCGGCTACCCGTACGGCTACCCGCCGAACCAGTACTGCCTGTACCGGGTGTGGCGCGCCGACAGCTCGGTCTGCCTGCTTGAACTCGACGTGCGAGACTTCGAGCTGAACCAGCGCGACTGCTTCAGGGACTATCTCGACCTGCCGGACGGGACGCAGTTCTGCGGCCAAGTGTCGGGAACCAGTGAGAGTGACATCTCAAAAAGTGTTACGATCTCCGTGTACCAGATTGTGTAGCTGAGAGCAAATAGGTCCTGTGCAAAGAGGGAGCGCCCGGTCAGAAACATGTGGACAGGGGGTCTTGGCATAGAACCTGCGAAAAGGGCGACAGGAATAGAAACGTCACACTTCTTTGTGGAGCTAGTAGCCGTTCACATTATACTTGATGGCCTGTTTCAGTGAACATTGAATTTCTCGTCAAAACATTATAGTCACACGAGACAAGTCGTCTGTCAAAAATGTGCCCATCCTTAATTTTACGACAACCACTTTTGTTCTAAAAACCAACCTTAGGCCACGAACTATATAGCGTGTTGCGATTAGGTATCACTCGCGCCAGGGGAAGTTCCACGATACCATGTCTATTGTTACACAACTGATCTAGCCACTGTTTTTGGATGCTATACAAGCTGGCTTATTTATGTTACGTATTTGTAGGTTAACATTGTCAAAGCCAATTTAGTTAACTACTACACTTTTTAACTCTATTTACAAAACAAGCATACCTTCCATAACAATAAATCACGTATGCAGAAGTCGAACGAGTCATTGCCATTGAACAATTCAAGAAAATGAAAATTTCGTGATGTGGCGAATAGAAAGCAATCAAATAGCAGACGGCAGAAAACAGACGTAAACTATAACTGTGTTGGCAAAGATTGCCTCCATGGGAATGTCAGCTTACCGTATTAAATTTTGTACAGATAAGTCGCTTTTTGACAGCTCGCTCAAATCGTATGCAGTACGATGTGGGCTAGTCAAACCACTAGTTATGTAGCCTATAAAATGGCCATCTTTATTAAGCAAACACATGAAATCGATACTGTGATTGTCATAAATGGCAAGTAAATGCAAATCAACATTTCAAAAGGTAACTACAACTCGTGGTGCCCTTTGAGCAATAACCTCTATCCACCAAGACCCTCGGTACACAGCTGTACCAGCACACCTACAAGCTAGTGACTTCAATCAGTACGAATAATCGAGAATTAAGAAAGCTGGCAGCCTTATAAACGTTCTCATGATGCTTTAGTTGGCATTTTCAATGCCACCAAAAATACATTTATGTCACCGTTAAAATGCCGCTGTCATAACTAAAAAAAGGAGTGGGAGCGCTAGTGTCTCTTATTGAAAAAGGCACCATAATATTACTGTAATTAATCGTTCTATTGCTAACTCTTCAGCACACTTCAACGTTAACTTCTCATTATACTCTATGACGAGGGGTTGTAAGTAGTGTAATGCTATATGGTAAAAACGGACAGCAGCAACTGAACTAAGTATCCTAGAGACAGACAGTCGAGACGCTAACAATGATTCGTGCATACGTGCATGACTTGCTTGCTAAAAGCAGCTGAGGAGCTGCCGCAGATGTAACTACAGGGCAGTGATAGATGTGAGAGCCTTGTCGGCTGTGCGCACCAACATCCATTTCCACCACTGCCCTCCTCCAGAGCTGCTGGAATTCACCCCTGGCTCGGAGACGCTGAGGCTCAAGTTCGTCAGCGACGCGTACGGCTCTGGCAAGGGCTTCAACGTATTCTTGCGGCAGAGGCCCAACTCCTGCAGGGGACAGGTACCTCTCGGTGCGTGTGGTGCGAGCCTCCACTCCCACGCAAAGTGCACCGGCTAAGCCGTTACATTTTTTATTCCCCTCAGACCGCCATTTCTGCGACGTTTTCGGGGCATCCGTGGTACCCGGTCGCGGGACCTCGTGTCCATCATTCGCGGGTCGCCACCGGTCCCCCGTTCGTCACGGACTGGTGGTGGTTCTCGGGCAAACGCTCGTCCTCTCCCACGAAGCGAATAACCGGCATGGCCCAGAAATAACCGCCAAGGCAGCGTTCTCGACAATCACTGACGCTGGACTCGAGAACACACACGCTCGTGCACCGCGAAGGACGGCTGTGAAGCTCTGAAGCCCTCTCGGCCTCTCCACGTGCCACTCCCCCGCCGCACACTTCCTTCCTCCCGCCCCCCAGCGTTCGTTTGCGTCTGCTACAACGTCGCTTCCCCTGGCTCACGTTACACAGCGCTGGAGTATGTGCACCCGGTGAGGCCACGTCTGTTGCTGCAAACGCCCTGCTATGCTGCTGCACATATTCAGCCAGCCGAATGGCTTGCATGAGCTTCAGCGTGCACGCTGAATCACCCGCTTTCACTACAGTCGATTACGTTTGTCGCTTTTGCCACAGTGGCGCCCATTCACATCGCCCAACACTGTCTCTACAGTTTCCCAAGGCTTGTTTGAGTAGAGGCGCTATTTCACCTTTCATATCTGCATACGCTGCTTTACACACATGCTTCTGGAAACGAGAGGAATGGAACTAAGTGCGAGACGAAGCCATAAATTCTGCTACCATACGAGGTGTTTCATTTCCCAAAGAAAGTTTATGCATTGATAAAACAAAAGACAGAGTAGCACTCGTCTCTTTGCGTACTGCCCTGTCCCCTTGCTCCTTCTTTTTCTTTTAACAGTACAGACAATATAGATTGTGCATCAGCTTACTCGGACATCACAGTTTAATCTCAATTTTATCGGGGTAATTCTTGCTTCCTACGTCGGTGGCATTTATGGACAAAGCTACCTTAACCCTTCACGTAGTTAGCCATGCTAAGCGATTAGTCCCCCTAACAACATTTCATATTAGCATCACAGCAACCAATAACTAAGCATACCTAAAATTACCTGTATTATTTGTACCTCTCTTTCTCACACGCCAATGAGAGGCAAGGTTGACGCAATGTGACTGTATTAAAGCTAGTGGACATAGCGCTTGACTAAGAGAAAAGAGAAAGTCTACGACAAGTGGTCGCAGCCCACGCGTATAGTTATCCCTTGTGGTAGGCAAACCCGCGTCCACTTTTGACTTCTCTCACGCCTCATTTGCGCTACATTTATGACATAATGACTACATTGTAGTCATTTCCATTTGATAGCTTCATCGATGCTTCTAACAACTCTCCACCTACCCGAATCGGCAAAATATTTTTTCATGCTACATTTGACCATGAGAAAAAAAATTATGCCAGTCATCGTGACTAAAATATCATTACCGAACGCAGCTGACCGGTCAATAAAACAAAACATGCGTGAAAGAAAAATGTTTGCGAATTTCGCCCCAGTTTTTGGTTATCGTAAGGCGGTAGAGAATGCGAAAGGAATAGAAAGGAACCAAAAGAATTGCCGCATCAAACCGACCCAGTGTTCGTGGCGTTGCTGAAAACCCGCCCTCTTCCTTCGTGGCATGGAACAGTTGCTCCTCATCTCTCAAACGGTTCTTTTTAAGCAGTATTTTTTTACACTGACTGGGCAAAAATTGTCCGCGTATCAGCGTGCTTAACTACAAATATCGTCGAAAGACGATAGTCTTCAGCCGGCCTTTTTTCGTGCGTAGCGTCGCATTTTCAGCGCAACCTAAGAAACACTAGGGTGTTTGAATTACGTATCCATCCATTTATTTGTTGGTAAAGTAGCAAATCACCTAATACTTACGTATTATTGTTGCGCCTCAGATATGTGTGACATTTGCTTTTTGATCGATATGTTCACAAGTATATGAACGCAGCCACCAGTTCAAGATGACTTGGTGTTCAGCAAGTGCCTAAACTTTGGTCGCATGGCTGAATCATGTGGCAGGCAGGCAGGCAGGCAGGCAGGCAGGCAGATTCAAGAAAACATATCGTCTTTAAAGAAGACGTAGATATACAGGCCATATAACTAGCAGTTTCGGGCTTCTCAGTGTATTTCATTTCATTAGCGGCGGAAACGTGCAAGAGGGCAACACGCGTAAATGCTCCTGGCGACGACAGACCAAGACGAGACAAGTTGTTTCTCACTTTACCATCTGTATGTAGTATATCGCATCGAGGGACTGACGAAGCGTCCTCTATTCCACATCAAACCGTACATTTTCCGGAAACGGGCATGCTGTAGCCTTTTCGTCACCGTTTAGATAATTTTTAAAATGCATTCACAAGCTACAATAAAGTTGAGGTATTCTATTTTTTACAGCGAAAGCTGTCATGAAATTACAATGGTCGCGTGCGGCCCGTATAGTTGTCCGCCGCCGGTGTCCGGAGCCACTATCGCTCGAAATAAGAAAAAAAAACTTGTAAATCAAAAACAAAAAGCACACTGTGGGATTTGAACCGAGGTCTCCCGCGTGCCAGTCCAGCATTCTACGCAGAGCAACGTCGGTGCTTGAAACTGTTTTGCAAACTTGCTTTACGCAGGCTTGATGTTGGGGAACGAATCGCGTTAGTGTGAATAATAAAGCGTTTTAGAACAGCAAAGATAGAACCAGGCGTCACACAATGCGAATTGCGTAACGTGTGGGTCGTCCAATGCTCCAACCCATTATAAAAGCTTCTTCTTGATCACCTATTAACGGTGGCGCACACCCACTTCAGACATAATTCTTCATCTTCATCAGCCACTGCATAAAAAAAATTGCACACCATTCATTGCAAGTGTGTAGCTTATGCCACACATCTACGAAGAATGACAAAGGATAGCATAGTGAATGCCAGCCTACTAGGCCTACTACACCAAAATTATGAATGTTTATGCAGCGGGTACCCAGCAAGTGTACTTGTGGCAGTTACTCAAAGAGTGTTTAGAAACGTCTCTGAAAGGCCGCTCTTCCAGCTTTCGCTGTGACTGTGCAGCACGTTCCGTGCAGGCCTGGTAGTTTGTTTTTTTTATTCTACATTAGTGCCATTGCATATAGGTCGTAGAGGATATTTATAGCCTGCTGAAAAAAAGTCACAACTTTGCCACAAAGGCAAAGCAATGAACGCGATAGCAACATATTGGAAGGTCACGCGCTGAATGTCAAGCAGATCTAAACGTGCCCCGCATTTCTCACGCACAAAGGACGCACGAAACGTACTCACAGGTACAGATTAACGCAAATAAGCGTCTCAGTTGTTACTTCGCTGTGTCTGAAAAGCGCGCCCTTTTCGCAAACGGAGGCTGTTCAACGATTGCAATTATCTTTGTGCGCCCGGTAATTACAACAGAATTGTTCCGACGAAACTCTAAGACGTACGATTCCCCCACTGCAAGATAAGGGCACGCGATCGAGCGTACATCCTCTTATTCTCTGCGCGGGCCAAAGTGCGCGTGAGAGATGAGAGCCGCTGCGCGCTCATTGCGCCATCTTGATGATAATGCTGAAAACACGATAGCCCCCCCCCCCCCCCCCGAGATGCCTGCCAACAGCGGTAAGTGGTAGATGTGAATAGCTTGCCGTATGAACGTTGAAGGAGGTACCTGTCGGTGGTTCAATGGTTAACGCCTCGCATTCATGACGCGGATGTCCTACGTTCGATTCTGCGCGGTGGAGTCTTTTCTCTGGGATTTTTAAAAACGATAGTCTTTCTTGGGGACCTTCGACGCAAAAATTTTGGTCTGTCTGTCTGTCTGTCTGTACATTTGTCTGTCCGCCGTTAACGGTACCAGGTACTCTGAACGACACTAGTCGATACGCCGAACGGCCGACCCCATCCGCAGCGCCCACCAATGTTGCTCAAGATTCAGCGATCAAACTTGTGCGATTGTCAATTAAAAATCAATTATTGCGCATATCTGAGGCGCCATAACAACACGTATATATTCTGTATGTGCGTCTTTTACTAGAAAAGGCATACATAAGTAATTCTAAGGACAGTAGCGTTTATCACGCTGCGCTTACCATGCTAGGCTTGCACGAAAAGATTAGTGTTTCCAACGCTTTGCTTAAACGACACGGTGGTGGCATTACCCGTCGCCTTGCGCTCTACGCCTTATAACCTCTGACACGAGCGCGCACGCCCGTCTCAGAGCCGCGCGTTTCGTTTTCCAAGAAAACTGCCAGATGGCGCTCATGTCTCTACGCGTGACGTGATTGATGCGCTCGTTCGTCTCCGCTACACGCTCGAGGCACTCTGCAGCGCTTCCAGAATGCCATTCACCGATTTTCTTGCCCAGAACATCAAATAAATGTTTTGTTCACTCTCTCCACACGCAAGACTATCGTCTTTCGACGAAATTTGCAGATTAACATGTAGATACGAGGCCAATTTTTTTCTTGCGTTTTCATATATTAGATACGTATGCATATACGGTGCATGACATTGACGCCGACGCCGGCGGTGAAATCCAGCCGAGAGTGTCCATATAATTGCTATTGCACTAAAGAAAACCAAGTGCCATTGTAGACCGTCAGTACAGTACAATGGTGACTTTCAGTACACAAACCTTATGTTTAGATGCTTTTCTCAGTAATTTACCAGTAAAATAACAAGCTTTTGCTTGTGCGTTTGTATGGCGGGTCGTCAAGTAATTTGGTTGTTTCACTCAAACGCTGTTTCAAATGTTCCTTTCAACGCATACAATGCCAGGCTGTTAAAGCAGGAAAGGGTCTTCTTAGCTGCTTATATGCGAACACGCACAAGTGCCGCTGCGTACAAAAAAAAAACACGACACACGAAGGTACCAGCTTACTGGTGCATGATGCACGTTCATAGCTTCGATAGGCAACCGTTTATTTTTAGACATTGATTTCCTTAAGTATAAGATCACGCTTTGCATCGTTCCATCAGTGGAATTGATTGTAATGCTTTGGACGGGCGTATTTGGCACGATATCTCAGACGTAGTGAGGGAAGGAGATATATCCTTGGTATGTTTCTCCACGCAGGGCTAAATGTCTTGACAATTACGGGGAAAGAAAGACGACTAGGTAAGGGTATATATCACATGTCACGTGTATAATAATAATGTTACTGTCTTCTACAATGTATGGCACGCGTAATGGCATAATGTATACAATGATCACACGTGCACAACGCGAAAATATACGTATACAGGTGTGTGCAAAGGGTATATGAGTAATAAGACACGTCATCTGAGGCAAACTGTGATAGATTCGGGGATAGCAACATGCCAAGAACAAAACTCATTTCGCTTGCTCGCTCATTGATCGTCTTCTGTTACAGCCCAATCATTCCACAGCAGAAGTGTCCGGTGATCCGCTGCATGCATGGCTAATTGCTTCTGGTAGCTCCCTAATTTAGGCGAGCACAACGCATGGGCCTATGACTGCCGTGTCCCGCTTTTTGAAAAGTACGCGCGGCCAATAGCGCATTACCTTGTGTGACGACTTTGGCCAATGATTATCGATGCTTCTATGTCTCATTTAATAATTTTGTTATCTCTGTTCTTACTGCACTGTTTATATATTTAAGTTAACATGAAATAACTACTACTATGTCAATGGCTTTGTACGTCGTACAAGTGTGCGAATGTTCAAAAGAAGAGCATGCGCATGTTGTGCGCAAAAAAGTGTGTGATATGCACGGATAACGGTAAAGGAATGACACACTGACACTAGATAAATACGGCTCGAGAACATGTTTGGATTATGATCACCAGACAACTACAAGAGTCATGATCTCGAAAAGGTGACAACTAGTACGGTAACATGCATTTCTATTGTACTCTCAGGTTTGTACGTTTCACCCTTTTTTCTCTCTTTCTCTTTCTCTCTCCCCCTCTCTCTGTTGCTCTTTTGTTTCCTTCAACATGGTTACGCGCCTCTATTTTTTGTACACTGCGTGAGTCTGTGCGGACGCAGTATATAGCTGTATGGACAGGAGGCAACGTTTATTGTGCACCCAATACAGACCACGCTTCTTACAGGACACACGAGGGCTACCAAAAACAACAATGCTAAGCGTGGCATAAGAGTGGCGTGATTGTAATGTGCGCACTAGTTAACGCAGCCGCTGCAACGTGTGAACAACGATTGAGGGAGTCATGCTGGTAGCTCCGTCGTGGTTTAACTGTTCAGAGCGTATGTATATAGACCCTTTCACTGTTAAAAAACACAGGTTCTTGATGACATCCGGTTTTGTTCGCCGATGTGCCTCATTAGCATTGGTGGGCAAAAAGCGGGTTAGAAAAGAGCCCGATGATTTTCTGCATTTTCCTACCCTTTTTGGCAAAATATATTCAAATAAATGTTCTTTTCAGCTACATAAAAACTACAAGAGATTGTCTTGAACATTACGCACCTTCTTTTTACGTGAAAACGTAATAAAATTCTTACCTTACCCTTGAAAAAAAAAACGTAAAAACATTCTTTCAGTTTCGACTTTAAGAGCTGGAAAATGAGGTGACCAGAAGTTTTTTTTTTTCTTTTTTTTTGGGGGGGGGGGGCGTCGATAGGTCACTGATGGGCCGGTCCCTTCAATTTCACAACTTCTTTTAAAATTTTCGCTTTCACTAACCGAAATAAAAAAAATTAAGCAGAACCCGTCCAGACAGCTCTGGAAGCCGTTTCGAAAGTACCTTGATAATACTTTGAGCAGCGCCAACATCTCCTTGCATACAGCTAATCTTAAAAAAAGCCCGAGGCTGCATCTTTATGGGCTTGGAACCTTAGCGAACGTGAATGAGAACAACGCGACATGTTTCAGAGTAGCCGTCGTGCAAGGCGCGAAATGAAATAAAGGGCGCCATGTGATGCTCTCTGTGAATTTATCGGTTTTATTTATTTATTTATTTATTTTTTGTTTATTTATTTATTTATTTATTTATTTATTTATTTTTGTTATACTTACGGAAGCTTTGCGCTCTCTTCGGTGTATATAAATAGGATAGAGAGAGAGAAAAAAAACATTCACCTTTCGAAACAGTGCTGCGAAAGAGACTTGTTTCGTTGCGCTTCAGCGTCTTAGCTGACGAAGCTAAAAGCGATGTCAACCATGTGCTGGTTCTGTGCGGCAGGCGTGTGTGACCAGAGGCTGTCTGCCGTGTCTTCCCTGGTTCGCTCTCCCGGCTACCCTCGTGCCTACCCGGCCAACCTGCGCTGCCGCTACACGGTGATTCGGCTCAACCGCAACGTGTGCCGGCTTCAGGTGCTCTTCCGGCGGTTCAGCCTCGAGAACAGCTTCGGCTGCAGAAAGGACTACCTCGAGATGCCCGACAGGACCAGGATCTGTGGGCGCTACGCTGGCAGCCGTGAGTGCGCCTGTCCCGAAAACTATTCCCCATGTGGTGTTGACGTTGTGACCCGTCAACAAAGGTCTCAAGGGAAGAGGGGTGGGACTAATTCACTAAGCTTTCGGTTCGTAATGGCTACTTGCCATTGGTTAGCGGGCTTTGCTGATACGCCCAACGTCACGGGTGGCTTATGTATTTTCTCGCGAAGAATCGTGCAGTAAGACGTTGCCATTAATAAGGGTCCTGGGCCCGGGATCTCAAAACATTTTAGGCTAAAAAAAAAAGTTCGTCAGTGAACATTTCCGCCAATTCAGATGCGGGAAATGCGATTGCGGAATCCAGCGAGCCCATAGCAAGAATCCCACACGAAATGCTTTTGTGAATTCAGCCCCTGTTTTGCAGGTATAAGTATAGGCCCGTTTAGAACACACTCTTTAACTGTAGGCTGCAATTTTTTTTTAGTTTAGGCGAACTATAAAGTTTTTACATTTCCTCAGAAGTCATTATATCTTAGCTTAGTCAAAAAACGTGTTCCAGCAAAGTACAGCGTCATTCTCTGATGAGAGAAGCATCCCTATATGCAGCTCTCGTTCACTTAGCTAGCTCCATATGCAAATGCTCGCGGGGGTTAAATATAACTACAATTCAAAGCAATGTGGAAAGGAGTCACGTGCTACCAACTATAAGTCATCTCTTTTAAGCCCGAGCGACTTCACACTTGTCAGGAAAAAAAAATCGCGCTTACTTTGAAGCAAACCACGCCATATGACCTTGGACCGCACAGAACGTAGTCATGCCCTATAAAAAATGCATTCCTGTCGGTGATACAGTCCGACATACTTGTTATCCGAAATATTTGAACTCATGCGAAAAAAGGAGCTAAATGTGACGCCTAAACTCACCGTGGAACTGGGGGTCTAAGGCCCAACCCACACCACGGCTTGAGCCTTGTGAACTGCATGAAAGCTTTGTGAATTCAGCCTCCTGGCTCCAGTACACCTTCATTCAAATAAACTGAAGCAACCTGCGTAGTATATCAAAGAGGTCAATGGGGACGTTTCTAATTGACACCAACTTTCCATTCTAGTTCCGAAATTATATTGACAAAGGCGTCCTGCACCGACGAAAACGATAGCTTCAAGAGATTGTGACTTTGACACGATTTGACAGAAATGCGGGTACTCTCAGACGACACTGTTACAGAAATGGCATGTCAGGGCGGCCATCTAATATACACCGCGGCATGCACTGCGCGCTGCAAGGTACATTATGATCTTTCGCACAGGAACGTACGACTTCAACCAGGACTCCGTAAACTTCTACTTCACCACGGACAGATTCCGGACGGACACGGGCTTCGAGATTGAGATTCGTCAACTGCAGAACTCGTGTCTCAACCCCGTGGCAGAACGTGAGTGCATACGATTCGGAACGCAAGAGTGAGTTTTTGCCGGTTGCGATACGACAGAAATTTTGCTGTTCGTATTTCGCGCAGCGTACACAAACTAAAATATTAAGCGAATGTAGAGAAAGTGCGCAAAACTGAGAAGTACTCTTTTGACCTTAGAAAGGATTTTGAAAAAAGCAGAACGAATTAATATTTCCTGGTCTCTCATCAATAAATTAAGCAAAAGTATATAGATCACATACGTATAATTCCACATTTCCTTTTTTCTGCTCTCTTGTCGAAATTTAGTTTAGAATGTACTGATAATGATCAGGGACAGATAATTCAGGTGCGTGTGTAAAGAGAGAGGGGGGGGATGTGCAAGCAACGTTCACAACAAATTCAATGTGGGAGTAAACAATGAAGACTGCTGCGTCATAATCATTACAGTTATTGTGGCATGGCTCGATTCGACGCATAAATGCTTTCCTCACGTGGTGCCTCTTAGCCCCGCATGAACCAATTGTCAATCCTATACAGTGCCATGAAGCTTGCTGCGAAATGTAGCGAAGCCTCAGATGTTATTGAATAACTAAATCACATCACAAACGTACAGTCATCTGTACATGAATATTCACAGCTACTTCGTGAAGTGAAGTAAACTGTGAAGTAGGTACGTGAAGCAACGCTCCCACAGCTTTACTTTACGTTCAAAACTTCAAATGACCCCTCCCCCCTTTCTGGCACTGGCGGTTATGACAAACCACTCGAAAGCGATCCAAAGCACGACTACTATGTGCACACATAAATGACAGTAACGATAATGCTATACCGTGACAAGTGGGAGCAAAAACAAAACTTCGATTATCGTTTATAAGCTGTGAAAACTGATATACTTTACATAACTAAAACGTGTTGCCGGACTAGTTGGTTGATTCTGATGGAAGGCGACGGACGCAACCAACGTAGACGAAAAAAAGGAAGGATTGACGCTCTGTCTTGTCCCCTCCCTTTTTTCGTCTACGTGGGTTGCGTCCTTCACATTTCGTCATACTTTGCATAATTTTTTACATTATGGTGATTTATGTTGGCTGCCAGGGTGTTGGACATTTGAAAGCAGTCTATTTTCTTTGACTCTGTAAACGAGTACTAAGGGCGTTCAGTATCAGCTGAAATCTTCACCACTTTTTTTCCTGTATTTCGTCATGAGTGGCCTATAGGGTTTAATTATAAAAAGGCAAATTATAACGAGGCAGAAGTTCAGAGGAAAACGGAAGCTTGACGACGTGAAAATACCTGTAACCCGTCGTGTCACGGGAGCCAACTTTTGGACAAGCACTCTTAACTCTGTTGTATGTGTCCTTCTCTGCCTGATCTTTCGTCTTGCACGCTGTTTTTCTCAATATGTCGTACCATAATGCCCAAGCAACTACTTTAGCTGCAATCTTGTCTTTGTTGCTGCCTTGAAGAAGACAAGACCACTCTTCGAAACACTGGTTCCAGCGGCACCGCGGGTTACATGGGTGTTTCACTTCGTCCACACACATTATGGTGCACAAATGTTGACGTACGAGAAAACCTGATACAATATCCAAAGGATGGTACAAATATATCCAAAAAAAGACAATATCCAAAAGATGTTGACCATTTGGGAGCGAAAGTATAGCCAATTTTTTCAATACTTTTCATCATATATAAACAAGTGTAATTTTCAAGAACAACGAACGACTTCTTGCCTGAATTGTCCGAAATACATTCTGCAGTTCTGCCAGACAGATTATGTACTGCCACCTACAGACGTTCCTTATTTATTGTCGTAATTGTCAATAAGAACATGCCTATACTCCGCAATCTAACCTCGCGTTATAGACATGTATTTGCAAGGTTTCACTTGCGAAGGATTGAAGTCTCTTCTGTCGTTACGCGTGATGACAGAATAATATTCTGATAGTTTAGATACTGCGTTGACGTCACAGGTTCACGCGCACTCTCGTGTTAAGGCCACTCAAGTCTACAACTTAAGGCTAGTCGTAACAATCCAGCTTTAACTTCTTTCCGAGGCATACGACTAAGAACATATTTGTCCTGTAAAACCTGCTGCTCAGCGAAGTTGTAGTTCATAACTGAAATCGCTAACTGAGCGTTGGTTTTAAAAAATATCAATAATTCCTGCAGTTTTACGCGCGAAAACCACGATGTAATTATGAGGCATTTTGTAGGGGGGGGGGGGGGGGGGGTCTTTGGCTTGTATAGACACTCTGGGGTTCTTTAACGTACACCAGATTATAAGCAAGCAATTCATGTTTTGTTTTTTGCTCTCCCATCAAAATCCCGTGCCCTCGAGCTTAGCAGCGCGACACCGTACCTGCGAAGCAACCGCGAAGTGTATAGTTGCTTTTTCAGTGATACATTCCAAAGTTGGCTTCAAGTTTTAAAAAAAATACGCATAAAAAATGCGACGTCACTTGTTCATTTGTCGCGAGTGCGACGTGCCACAGGTCGGGATCATTGTTCTTCCCAAGGCCGCAGAGCTGGAAAGAGTTGTTGACAGCGAATGACAGACATCTTCACAGACGCCCAGGCTGCTCAGCAGGGGGTGCGTATGCGAATCATCACTGCCTCGTCTCACAAGGCATCGTGTATTCGTGCCTCTGTAAGCACAAACGCAGAGGCACGAAATTGGCTCCTATACACATACCCTCAGTGACGAAGAATTGTTGGTCCGGATATACTCTCGACACTTAGGGGTTCTTTAGGGTGCAGTAAATTTGTGGTAGTGTTTTCAGGCAGATAATTCGCATGTTTTATGAGTGCACCAACCACTGTGGAGTTCCCGCGGCTCTGTGCACGTGGAAAAAACACGTGGTCCGGGCGCTTGTGGAATTGTGATATTGTACCTTCACTGGCGGCGTGTGTGTGATACGCGTCGCGTCGCAGTTCAAGTGTCGTTTGCCATACCAGGTACGCAACTCCCAGCGCGATGGATGTTTCGAAGATTGACGCGCATAGTATTGACAAAGTTTCGCGACACTTGATACAGAGAATATTTAGCAGGCATTATTTACTGAGGAAAACGACAGGCTTTGGTTCACTGGTTGTTCGTTAATATTTTATACATGCTCTCTGGTGAAGTATGATTTTTTGCACTTTTTTTATTTAGCGGCAAAAGGAAAGCCTTGGCAAGCTCCTTGCGTGTAAAACTTACACGGTATGAATATGAGCAGACGCTCAAGTATGAAAGGCCTTGACACAATAGAGGTAGAATATGAGCAGACGCTCAAGTATGAAAGGCCTTGACACAATAGAGGTACGCAGTGACCTTTCTGTAGCCGTTACCATAATACATCCAGATGCCCAAACGGTCGCTCACCGGCAAGATCTCCGAGCCTGAAGCTTTGTTTATCGAATAACTAATGTTGTAATGAGGCCGCGACTGTATACACCTGGCGAGGCGAGCTCTGCAAGCAGCGCTGCGGCGGCGCACGCAGCTCCACCGTCGTCGCCGGGCAGTTGTGACCGGACCGTGTCCCGGGACGTGGAGATCGTGCGGTCGCCGTCGTTCCCGGGCGACTACCCGGGCGGGGCGCGCTGCGTCTACAGGCTGCGGCGGTCGCGGCCCAGCGTGTGCCAGCTGCGGCTAGACCTGGTCGACTTCGACGTCGAGGACGCCCCGGACTGCGTCGCCGACTCCTTGCTCATCGAGAGCACGGGCGAGCGACTCTGCGGCTTCCGGTCGTCCACGTCACGGGGCGAGTATCCAGACGGATCTATCGCGGTCACGCCTTCGCATAGTGACGCGTGACACGACGTGAAGCATGTCTATCGTGCATGCGCCGCACCATGTTACGTATAATTGAGAGGGAAAGATTTAGGTGGGCAGGATGGAAACGCGAGCTTCCCGCTTTATCTGTTTCACTTAAAGGGGCCCTGCAACACTTTTTGAGCATGGTCAGAAAACGTTGCCGATCGGTAGTAGAGGCTCCCGACAACACGCGAGCCAAATAATATAGCACAGCACGCGGCCTAGAATTCAAAATAAATTATCAAAGTCAGTTAAGAATTGCTTTCTCTTCTCTCGACAAATGGCGGAACATGCCCAAAAATCACACGTGAATTACTAATCTAGCAGCCATTGGCTGATTTGAACATGGCGCGCTCGCTCATAACAGATATCGCCGCGGGAGACCGGGACTTATTCACGCATGCACGCGCGATCACATTAAAAAAGCAACGCATTCGAAAAAAAAAAGAAAAAATACACTCAAGGCCTTCAGGCGCGTGTGACGTTTTTCTGTGGCCCTACCATCACTCCCTGCTTAGCTTACAGTGCTTTCGTTGGGACGAGAGAAGAGAGAATTCAATTGCAGCATGCGACAAACCTTTGTAACTCCATCGCACTGAGCGGATTCTTAAAATTTTTGCGACGTTGAATTCGTGATCTGGAGATTTAAGGCGGCAATAGCGGGTTTCGAACAAGTGCAGTGAAAAATAAGTGAATGGTGAATAACGTGATATTACACTTCAGCACAAACTCAAAAAGTAATAGTAGCAATAATTAAACTTCTTTCACAAACGGAATCGCACCTATGTGCACCACATTTATCACCTTCAGGTGCGTGCTTCCATTTCTTTAAAAAAAATTCAATAACGCCAAGCATAACAGTACAAAACAATGTTGCGCAATTGTTCGTTAGGTTGTGTTTGCTCGTTGGTGCACTGGGGTCGACTCTTAATTTGAATGCTGATCTAAATATTTGCCCATGTAGATCTGAAAACAACTGAAACTGTCATTGGCATGTTTACCTGAAACATACACCAGATCAATATCAGTGTCAGTGAGAAATTCAATTCTAGCGTGCGAGAAGCACGCACGAGAAGCACGAGAAGCAATGTTCACATTTATGGGCGTGATTTCAGTTTACCATTCTTTGTGCTCGAAAGCACAAAAGTTACAAAAACATTAAAGACGCAGGATGTGCGATATCTGCTCATGAGTGGCCCACCCTGGCAGTTATTTCAGACATCTCCTGGACAGAGTATTTATTATTGGCATTAAGGTAACACTCTCTCCCTCTGACAAACAGGTGTGAAAAGTTCAACACCCTATGTTTGCACAAATTATTCGTGAACGGTACTCCTGTTGCATGAAAAACGTAAATTCCTGACAGGTATGTGATATAACCATGAAAAAATAGAAAAATCATATTCCCATTAGGACATCAGTGAACAGGAAGAGTGAGACTTGTAATTGATTATCATTGGTCGGGAAAAAGTAACGTTGCTGCAGTCAATGTTTACAAGAGAATAATGTACAAATTTATTGGATAATTTTTCACGTTTAATTGATTGATTTGAGGGGTCTGACGTTCCAAAACCATTATATGATTATGACCGACGCCGTAGTAAAGGGCTCCGGAAATTTCAACCACCTGGGGCCTACAGCATTTTCGCCTTCATCGAAAATGCAGCCGCCGCAGCCGTGATTCGATTCCGCAACCTGCGGGTCAACAGCCGAGTACCTTGGCCACTACACCACCACGGTGGGGCGTTTCTACGTTTACAACGCAGGCTAAACATGTTATTAGTTTTTTGTTTGTAACATTTATGTGATTTAATCATGTTTCATTGCAGTTCTCTACTTCCCACGAGAGGCGGACGAGCTGCGACTGGTTTTCACCTCGGACCTGACCACCACCCGCAAGGGATTCGAGATTAAGGTGACACAGAGTGACATCGGCTGCACACGGGCGCCACTCGGTGAGAACAAGCGAGCAGTTTTCTCTGTGCTCACCTCCTCTAGCTAACCAAACAATTCCTGTCATTAGAGTCTAACGGTAGCGATTGTACGGACATCGAACGTTTTATCGCCGTGTTGCAAAATGGTGCATCATTGTGGGTTGCTTGCCGCGTAATCGGAAAGTCTGGCACAGCCTGGCACGAAAGATGTTACGCCGGTACCATTGTAGTAACTTCACTATGTTTCAACAGGCTCAACAATAGCTGCCAAACCGCTGAACACGCGGTACGATCCAGCGTCCGGTCCGAACTCAGGCGCCGTATGTTATGGCATGCGGCATACGATAAATGTGGCAGGACACATGGGACAAATGAGCCAGCAGCAACTATAGTCCCGATCTAGCGCCTCGGCCTGTACAGGCTATATAGGGAGGCTTGGTATCCTCTTCAGGGACTAAAGTACGAACCGCTTCAAACAATGCTGCCTCGTTTGTCGATACACTTGTTGAATGCGTTGGGCAGCAAGCTCAGTGAGCGTAAACTCTGCCGGTGTGACTCAAAACACATTCTTAATGATTATAGTCTGCATCAATATCCTTACCATTGGCCTCATGAGCCCGAAATAGGAAGCGATTTGACGACGCCTTCCGCGGTTCCTTTTACTGTGCCTACACGGCGGAGTCTTCAAAGTTGAACCCTTCGTTCTTCAGTAACTTTCTCAGTTCTACAAACGTCGCTTTAATGATTGTTTCAGAATAACAAACTTCTTGAAAATACCCGACCATTTTTCATACATTTTACGCAATAAAGTTTCAGAATATTTCAGTTGAACGAACTCGAACAGCGGACCCGGGCTCGTTTATGAAATCAGTGCAACGAGGTTTTGCGCTCTTAAGCGCAGGCATTCGAATCCCGTAATGCTACCCGGGGCAGTAGGATGCCTTGGAAATTTGTGAAATTTCATGTCTCAGCTACAAATCGTGCCACAGGAAGTGCACAATACCGCTGACTCTCTGAACAGACTTGTTGCTTCCTGGGGTTTAAAAGAACCATTGAGGTGGCAGCAGCGCAACTATTACGCACTTCGCATATATATATATATATATATATATATATATATATATATATATATATATATATATATATATATATATATATATATATATATATATATATATATATATATATATATATATCCTTCTTCTGCCGTGTATTCACAGACTTGTGCAGCGTTTTTCTCTAATGGTCTGGTATCTTGTCTACGCAATGATAAACAACTCTGAAGAAGCATTTCCTGCATCATTAGGTCTTTTTTTAATTGTGCAGCGGTCGAAGCGTGATCAACTAGTAAGTGAGTTAAAGCCAGGGATGACAGAAATAACACTCCGAAGGTGTGCAGAACCGTGCTAGCCAAATGGACAAAGTTTTTAAGGGCAAAATTTCAATCGTATATTTATTATCATGAATAAACTGCGAGAAAGTATTGTCTGAGCTAAAAGTGTACGAAAAAAAATACTATCAGGGTCTCGTTCACCGCAAGACGACTCCAAGGCGGTCCGTCTCGGTGAAACCGTGACTACGGTGCTCGGCTGCTGACCCAAAGGTCGTGGGTTCAAACCCGGTCGCGACGGTCACATTTTGATGCAGGCAAAATGCTAGAGGTGCTGTGCGATGTTAGTAAAGGTTAAACAACCCCAGGCAGTCGAAATTTTCGGAACCCTCCACTACGGCGTCTCTCATAATAATATGGTGGTCTTGGGACCTATAACCACAAATATAATTACTCGAAGGTGACAGCCATCTTCGTTCTCTTCTCAGTCTACGTGTTGAACCTACCCCGCGACTACGTGAAGGCTTTCTGCAACTGACCTCATCTTGCACTGCCTCCAGGACAGGCACACTTCGGCTGATCTTAAGCCACCTTCGTGATCGGTTCACCTTTGACCAAGCAAAAATGTCACATATGAGGACGTCACCAGGTGACACCATACGCTATGTGACGCCACAAATATGTGTTATCCGTTACGCCAATTATGATGTCATCGCGTGATGATTTTTGCATCACCCGTGTTGACACCACCGATTGGGGACGCCAACGAGGGGTACCAGTCCGTTTTCGTGTTGGATGAGGCACCTAAGGCTTTCGAATGGTGGACAACGTATTGTGAGCACATGCAATGACTCACTATATAGCTCAAATAGAAAAAAAACTGACATCGCGCTCATGAATCCGCCAATGCGCCCATGACACGCTGCCCACAAAACGTGCTTCCACAGTCAGTGGCGCAGGCACGGGGTAGCGCACAAGGCCCGTGCCCCCCCCCCCCCCCCTTCGATTTTTTTTCGCCATGACATACAGAGGGAAAACTGATCATTTCAAGCATGTGCCCCCCCCCCCCGAAATCAAAAAGCTGACCCCACCCCGAAAAAAATTTACACAGTATACCAACAGGTTGCGCGTCAGTTAACACCTTTTCAGAGCTAGGTGCTAGGATAACTAGGATAACTAGAAAGCTAGGATAACTAGGTGCATATACGCACCTAGTTGACCGCCTGCTCCAGTACATGAAGTAGATTGACATGTTTGAGAGATATAGCGAGTGCAAGTCAATGTCGAGCAAGCGCCTCTGGATGCAGGACCGGCCGTGGGACGTCCTGGCGGCGGTTCTTCATCGCCGACATCATCGTCGACCTGCGGTCGGCTGCACTACGACGGCGGCGTGCTGGAGAGCCCGCGGCATCCGTTCGCGTACCCGGCCAATTTGGACTGCCGCTACTGGATCCACCGCGCCAGTCCGAGCGTATGCCGCGCACAACTCACCTTCGGTCGATTCGACGTGGGCGTTCAGAGGAGCGGACGCTGCCCTTCCGACTACCTAGAGATCCAGGGAACGCGCTACTGCGGACGCCGCGATGGGCAGACGAGTGAGTATCTTACGCTTGAAAGAGGAAACAATACAAGGAATGGCTGTACGATGCAGCTATGTACACTTCTTTCTACGGCCATCAGGTTAGCAACTATTCTCGAATATATAAGCGCATCGAGTTACTTTCTAATGGGTCCCATTTATAGAGTTCTTTCGAAAAAAAATTCAAACTTTATCCAGAAAATTTCTAGAAAAATATTTCGCTCGTAAGGTACCAACAGCCGGCGTCGAAATTTAGGGACCACAAGGTCTGCAAAAACTTTCAAACATCCCAGAAATTCGTGACTGTATTCGGTTGAACTGCATTGCTCATGTTGTTAGCACGTTTTAGAACAGAAATCTAATTTCAAGGCTACCTGCCGAAGCAGCGGAAATATTCAACTTTTTCTGGTGTGCCGTGGTCCCTAAACTTTTGACGCTAACGTTGCCCAGCGTAACCTTACATAGTCAACGACAAGCACAATCTATCACGTGCGAATTGGCACGCTGAATTTGTGCTTATCCATGGGAATATTCTTCGACGTGAGTTCCACGAGACACGTATGTCAATTGTATACGCGCGTATAGAGCACTCTGCCATTGATGACACGTACGTCTGCGACGCAGTCATTGTGGACTTTCCCCGAGGACGCAACTCCATCGAGCTGAAGCTGCACACGGACGATGTGTACGAGCGCTCAGGATTCCGCATCGACGTCAAGCAGATCTCCAGTGGATGCGTGGCATCTCCCCTGCCAGGAGAAGGTGACCACCGTCATTCATATATATTCTATATGTATATACACTTCTCTCAAAAACATGTACTTTTTCATAGCGCGCTACGCCAACTTCATCAGCTCTCGACCAACGTTATTTTCGTTATTTTTGTCGTAGCTGTTGTTCTGTATGTTGTTGTTTTTGTTGTCGTCGTCGTCGTAGTTAAGCTTTTGTCGGCTCCTGATGGCACCATTAGTATATGACCACCAGTGAGAACGCGACTTTCTTTACTTTGTTTCGCACTTCTGTTATTTTCTTGACAATGTGTATACGCAGTGATTTGCCATTGCTTTCTTCATTCCAATGTCACAGCGGCTAAAGTAGTGAATTATGTGTATCTGGATACCGGTTCGACCAACGGTACAAATCGTGGCCTGGTGCCGGAACGAACTTCACTGCCGCCACCAGTCAAGTTATCCCTCTCATTTTGGTCCCTACTCATGATGAACACTTGGTTCCTTTTTCTATATGCGTAAGGTCTGTCCAACGATGTTAACCCCGCCAATGCGTTTGGCTAAGGAGATATGCCACGTTGCCATATAGAGGAGGCTCTGAAGCCCTTCCATCGCGTAACAGTAGGGATACCAGCCGTTTACCTGACACACGAAAAATAATTATTAATCAACTATTACTTTATTTTTTTACGATCATTGTCCCCGATTCTCACTCATATGCAACTTTTTTCAGTTATGTAGGGGAAAACGTGAAAAGGTAGGCTGCGTACTCGAATCGAATCTGTAATACATGCCCATACACGAACACATCTGGCTGCCAACAGATTGCGACCAGGTGATCACAAGCGAGATATTCCAGCTGATGAGCCCGGGCTTCCGACGGGGAGGCTACCCGGGGGGCATACACTGCATCTACACGCTGCGCAAGCACGACTTCCGAGTATGCGCGCTCGAGATCAAGATGGATGCCTTCGAACTGGAGCAGGACCCCGGATGCTCAAAGGACTACCTGCAATTCGGCACGCTGCGCTTCTGCGGCAAGCAGGCGTACGGTGCCACAAGTGAGTTCGCTCGGCCGTGTCGCATGTGCCGTGATCACTCTTCGTGAGAGAACTAACTGTCACGACGGTTATAGGTAAACAATCATAGGTAGCCACGTCGCCTCATAAATGCGCAGACCTTTCATATTACAACACCAATGAAGAGACAGAACAAACTGTTAAACAAACAAGCTTTGTACGAAAGGAGGCACCGCGTCTCCCAACTTCTTCACGAGACTATAAACTAATTAAAAGGCGAGAGGTATATAGCACGCTCAAATTGTGAAACTACAAACGGCGAACCTTAGGCAGCACAATTGGCGGCACTGACTGCCACGCTGTTTCCTAAAAAAAACAGCAATGAAATGTGAAAAATATATATCACTGCACACTTCGCGAAGCTATAGAACATAGTGTAATCTAAATGTGAAATGTGACTACGAAAAAAAAAACGGATAAGGCAGGAGAGCTAAACGGTAATGACAATACCTGCATTAGGGAAAGGGAAAGCGGAGGTAGGCACGTACAAGAATGCAGCGTATACATAGGAGAAACGGAGAGCGCACCGCTGACGCACTACCGCATCCGGTCGCAATCACAAATTACAGCTGAAAATGAATTACAATGAAGTGATTGCTCTTTCAGGCAACAGCCGTTTCTTAACGTTACCAGTTCTATTGTCGTTCTTTGGTGCAACAACATATGAGGTCTGAATTCCAAGATTACGTATTTGCGTTGATTATGATTTCAGATTATAGTGGACTAGCACAGTGATGAGCGATCATTTGTGTGTAATGTAGCGAGGCAGTGTAACACAGACCACGCTCAATATTAAGGCTTTCTCTGCGGCGTACCTTTTCTGAAGAACTGAACGCTCACTGCAGCACCATTATCATCATCATCCTCTTTATGTAGACTGTATAACGAAAGCCTAACTTCGTGGAAAGCCTATAATAGCGATATGCAATTACTTATGCCTTGCAATGCGCCAGGTTGACTTTATCTTGTGACGTGTGCAAAGAAAAAAAATAAGGCTGGCTCCAACACCAATTTCCATTCGCAAATATGTACGGATATTAATTTACAATCACTGTTGTTTAAGAAAAAAACATTCCTTGCGGCACTGCGGGCAAAACTGTGCGACGCATCATTGTACTTCGTGGCATATTCCCGCGATAAAGGTCTAAAATATAATGGTATAATGCCTGAAAGCCTGCTATGGGGCATGTCATATGCACTCGCAAGGCAGTTTAAGTTGCCGCGATGTAGCATTATACCCCCCAAATGTAATTCAAAGAAAAACATGACTCGGTCAATTTCAGTTTTCAAAAAAGTATACAGTGGATTAAGCAGTGACTGCAGCAAAATTTATCGCTTCTGCTCTCCCGAATAAGATTTCACCCGAAGATAACACATCCGCATGGCTATAGCACGCCTCTTTTTTTCCTTTTTTTAATAATTGTAATTTCGCTTAAAAAACCTGTATATTTATTATTACGACTCTGTTCAGTGTACGTCCCGTGCCAAAGTCTCACTTTCTTTCTCGCACGTTTTCTTTTTTTTTTTTCAATGCAGGGACAATCGAGTTCCTGGAAGACGAGATGAAGATCCAGTTCCACACAAACCCGACTGTCAGCGGCGCTGGCTTCCTGCTGACCGGCAAGCAAGTGACCTGTTAACTGAACTGTTTCTGGAGACGCTCTTTTTCGATAGAGTTTATTAAAGAGGCTTGTTTTCGCGGTGTTTGCTTCGAAGTTTTCTCTTCGCGGGACAGTTGGTTATGCAAGTAGACAACATATACCACCTTGAACGTGAAGATACACCCTTTTTATGAACGCTAGCCAACGTTAACCTCTCTGGTCACGTCTCACGCACCATGAAGGTTTGATACATGCGACGCCAATAACACGCTCCTCATCTCCGTCAGCGTTATGAGATGCCCACGGTTCCGCGTTAAATTTTGCTACCGCTTACACTGTTCACTAGTGGAATGAGAGCAAGATAAGCAACATGATGTCATATACAAGAGCGTAGGCAGATTTCTTTTGTTTTGTTTTCAAAGGGGGGCAGGGGGAGGAACTTCCTTAAAATGGTCATTTGTCGCTTAGTACACGCCATGGCCAGAAAAAGTTCGGGGAAAGGGGGGGGGGGGGGGGCACGAGCCTGGTGTACTACCACCTGTCTATGCCACTGGTCACATACAGGTTGTCCCGCGTAATTTGAGTTAAGACCTTAATAAAGACAAGGCGGGGAGGAAGTTGATAGGATTGAACGCATACTGTTCACACTAGCCTATAGATACGCATAGTATTATACCTTCAGTCGATTAACTGCGCTAAGTAACCCAACGTTATAATTATAGCCTGAATACTCAAATACGTTACGTCGTGTTGTGCGACACCTTCGGAGACCACCTATATACATCTCAGCACTAGCGTAGCCAGACACTTTACGTATGTTCTGTTTATGCATCTTAAGTTTATGTATGGACATACTTTATGTATACGTTCGCGCGCGCGTTTCTACGTGTGCCTGTAGATAAACAGTTACACAAATGAGAATTTTCAAGGGGGAGGTTCTTTCTACTTCCCTCACCCTTAACCATCCCCATGGCAACGCTAGTGCGTATCAGTTGATTTTTTTTTTCTTTTCGGGCTGTAGGGGAAGCCCGCGAAAATATGAAAAACGTCCTCCTGACGGAGTGATTACGCGTGGTCAGCAAGATGGTGAAAACGTCGAAGAGGGCAGAAATTCAGTCCCGCACTTATTCAATACGTTAGCGCTACCATCACTACATGTTTTTCGTTACGAAATAAAGTGAATGCATGTCAGTTTGCTTGTTTTCTGACTCTTTCCACCAAACTCCTGTTACACCAACAGAACACTGAAAACAAACAGCTTAGATATTTCTAAGCTGTTGTTTAAGGAGGAGGTGCACGCTGTGCAAAACTGGTATATTGTGAGGCGCGCAAACGCACTGCTGCTGCGCCTTCTGCCTATTGCCTCCTTATCAGTAATTATTATCTAAATCAGGCTCTTAAGGAAGGCGTCCATGAGGAGGCTGTGAGTTTTGTCGTGCAGCAGGGGTAGTTGTCGACTGCGTTGGTGAGGATAACCGCTGTCACTCCGGCCGCCATTTTTATTTTCGGCCGGATGTTCACATCACGTGGTGTAAATGGGTTCGAACTTGAGCTAATCAACAATGCTTCATACCAAGACACAGCCCAAACACAGGAGAAAAGAAACACAAAGTGAACTTTACGCCGGTTTGTCTACAGTGTGCTCGCGCAGTTCCGTGGCATTAATCGCGCAGTTTACGGGATGTATATGTTAGCACAGCAAGCTACGGTTTCCACTTAAGCAGAAAGACTTTCGGCAAACGCTTGGCAAAAAAAAAAACTGATCCGACACTAATCTAGGGTGGTCACTTCATATTTTGCTGCGTTGGCGTGCTTTGGAAATTATTTTTAAACCCGGCATTCGCGCGACTTTCACTTAGTCCATGCGAAAGCGTGAAGAAGGTGAAGAAGATCCCTGGAGCAGCAGATATCATGGAAAGCTCCCGCGGGGCGGCTCCGACAGCCTGCAGAGTTAAAAAATAAAAAATAAAAAAACAGAGGATTATGCTTTGTGACATCTTGGGGAACGAGCGCCATGTATAAATATAATAATAACGCATATATATATATAAATATATATATATATATATATATATATATATATATATATATATATATATATATATATATATATATATATATATATATATATATATATATATATATATATATATATATATATATATATATATATATATATGAGATCTAACGGACAGTAATACCAAGCAAGGAATGTACGGGGAAGTTATTAGAATCAATGGATTGTAAATAAGAAAGAAAAGTGAGTCAAAAAATTATCAGCCGTGAGCAGGAATCCAACCTACGACCTTCGAATAACGCGTTCGATGCTCTAACCACTGAGCTACCACAGCGGCCTTCCCTCCATGTACTTTTTTGGGGTTTATATGTGAATTTAGAAGTAGACTCTCTCGTCGTTTGGCTTATAAACGCACTCGTCGCTTGGCTTATAGATGGCGCTGACTGACACTCCTACTTCTAAATTCGCATATAAACCCAAAAAAAGTGGATGAAGGGAAGGCCGCTGTGGTAGCTCAGTGGTTAGAGCATCGAACGCGTTATTCGAAGGTCGTAGGTTCGATTCCTGCTCACGGCTGGTTATTTCTTCACCCACTTTTCTTTCTTATTTACATTCCATTGGTTGTAATAACTTCCCAAGTACATTCCTTGGCATCACTGTCTGTTAGATCTCATTAATATTGTGTCAAAAACACGAAAAAAACGAGCCCTTAGGTATACACTTCTTTCCTTATTCATTAACGAGGGTCTCGTACTGGCAGACTTGGTGTGTTTAGGTTGTATAAGAGGGACAATTAATCAGCTGCCCGCTCATAATAAGTTCACGTGCTACGTGACGCCAAACATGCGAATAAGAGTGTTTTCACACCCGTTGTTTGGCTTATAGATGGCGCTGACTGTCACTCCTACTTCTAAATTCACATATAAACCCCAAAAAGTGGATGGAGGGACGGCCGCTGTGATAGCTCAGTGGTTAGAGCATCGAACGCGTTATTCGAAGGTCGTAGGTTCGATTCCTGCTCACGGCTGGTTATTTCTTCACCCACTTTTCTTTCTTATTTACATTCCATTGGTTCTAATAACTTCCCCCGTACATTCCTTGGCATCACTGTCTGTTAGATCTCATTAATATTGTGTCAAAAACACGAAAAAAACGAGCCCTTAGGTATACACTTCTTTCCTTATTCATTAACGAGGGTCTCGTACTGGCAGACTTGGTGTGTTTAGGTTGTATAAGAGGGACAATTAATCAGCTGCCCGCTCATAATAAGTTCACGTGCTACGTGACGCCAAACATGCGATAAGAGTGTTTTCACACTCGTTGTTTGGCTTATAAATGGCGCTGACTGTCACTCCTACTTCTAAATTCACATATAAACCCCAAAAAGTGGAAGGAGGGACGGCCGCTGTGATAGCTCAGTGGTTAGAGCATCGAACGCGTTATTCGAAGGTCGTAGGTTCGATTCCTGCTCACAGCTAGTAATTTTTTCATCCACTTTTCTTTCTTATTTCTTCTTATTTACATTCCATTGGTTCTAATAACTTCTCCCGTACATCCCTTGGCATTACTGTCTGTTAGATCTCATTAATATTGTGTCAAAACACGGAAAATCGACCCCTTAGCTATACACTTCTTTCCCTGATATATATATATATATATATATATATATATATATATATATATATATATATATATATATATATATATGTATGTATGTATGTATGTATGTGTGTGTGTGTGTGTGTGCGTGCGTGCGTGTGTGTGTGTGTGTGTGTGATGACAATCAAATCAAATGAAGTGAATGGTGAGTTCATCAGCGAAAGTAACATTGGTGGCAGCAAATTAGGATTGATTGATTTATATGTGAGGTTTAACGTCCCAAAACCACCATATGATTATGAGAGACGCCGTAGTGGAGGGCTCCGGTAATTTCGACCACCTGGGGTTCCTTAACGTGCACCCAAATCTGAGCACACGGGCCTACAACATTTCCGCCTCCATCGGAAATGCAGCCGCCGCAGCCGGGATTCGACCCCGCGACCTGCGGGTCAGCAGCCCAGTACCTTAGCCACTAGACCACCGCGGCGGGGCGCATCAAATTAGGGATAGATAAATAATGAAGGTTGGAAGTGGGTATAAAGTATATTGTAAAATAGTCACGCCAGATTGTTTTCTCCTTCTAATTCAACTCTTGCGAATAGATAAAGGAGACTGCACGTTTTAGGGGAAGGTTTCTTGTTAACCGCCGTCTAACACTATATATATAAATATATATATATATATATATATATATATATATATATATATATATATATATATATATATATATATATATATATATTGTAGGCATTCATTAAGCACATCTACTTTCTTTACACATATTCATCATCATGAGTGGTCGTCATCTTCATCTGCTGTGGGGACTTGGCTTGTCTGAGTTCTGTGCCTTGGGCGTGGTCGCTTCATCGTGTCTTCTGGGCCTAATAAAGGTTGCCTTCACCGTTACATCACAAGTGGTGGAGTGTGCTCTACGATCTTCCGTCCTCTCCCAGCCCGATCTGCCTCCTGGAGCTGCGCTCAGGTCGTCGTTTGTACCAGGTGTCCGGTAACATGCCTCAGGACGAGCCAACCGGCGCTTCTGCGTCTACCTCCACGGCCCCGGCTACCACGGCCTATCCAACGTGGATTATCACCGCGCACCAGCGTGAGCCGCCCACGTTCGCCGGACTTCGAGGTGAAGATGTGGAAGATTGGTTGGACCAGTTCAATCGAGCGAGTTCCACTAACAACTGGGATGATCCTACCAAGCTTCGCCGTGTTTCTTTCTACCTCACAGGCGTAGCGAAAACATGGTTTTTCAATCATGAAACCGACATTACGGACTGGACACGCTTCAAGCAACAGCTTCGCCAAATTTTCGGCACCCCGGCGGTTCGTTCAGCTCTCGCGAAGAAGACACTGGATTCTCGCAAGCAACAATGCGGTGAGTCATACACGTCGTACATAGAGGATGTGCTTGCTCTCTGTCACCGTTTCAGCACGTCCATGTCAGAATCAGAGAGAGTTCGTCATCTATTGAAAGGGAT